TTGCTCTCTACAGCAACTTGGAAGGAGGTTGTAGTGAGGTGGGGGGTCTGTTTCTTCTCCCAAGTGACAAATGATAGGAGAGGAGGAAACGGCCTCAAGTTGCACCGTGAGAGGTTTAGACTAGAGATAAGGAAATAAAGAATTCACCAAGAGCACTGTCAAGCATTGGCACAGGCTTCCCAGGGAAGTGATTGAGTCACCACCTGTGAAGGTATTTACAAGATGCGGTGCTTAGCCACATGATTTATTGGTGGACTTGACATTGCTGAGTTAAAGGTTGGACTTGATGATCTCGAGTTCTTTTCCAACCGAAATGATTCTGTGATGGTCGTGGATGAGTGTTCTACTGTATCTGCTGTTCCTTCTCTGAAAAGGGTTTATTTTTATGCATTTTCCAGTTTTTTTCTCAGATTTGTTGGAGTTTACTTGTTAGAGCTTATGGTGACTTTTTTTTCCTCTTACCTTTTGGATACCACTTCTTATGTTCTGAAATACGTCATTTTACTGCATGTAGTTTCCTTGACTTTACTATTTAGCCATGTCACCAGTTTTTCCTAGTTTGTTTGAAAGCTTTTATGGGAGAGCAAGCAGTTATCTTCTGCCAGTGAGTGTGAGTGCCTTACAAAAGCGTGATCAGGAAATAATTAGAACAAACTGTTTTAGCTAAGCATTTGTACAAAAGGGTATACAGGAAAAAATGAGCCAGAATACAAGCACAATTTTTAATAATGTAAAATCATGTATTTATTTTTAACCCTTGATATTTTATAATCCCAAATAAAGTGTGCTTATTTTGCTTTAACTAGATTTGAAGAATATCTAACTTCTTTAAATCCCTACTGCCTTTAAAATCATCTATGCCAGATGAAAACTCAAAGTTTTCATTACTAAGCAACCAAATCTTGCTTCGTTAGCCAGCCTAGCAGTAGAGCAAATTGGTTTCATGGATGGGCTGTTTAATGCATAAGGATTTGGCTGGATGGCGCCAGCACCTGGGCCAGGGCAGTCACCAGCATCAGTAGAGGCTGGGCTGTGAAGGGACTGAGAACAGCCCTGAGGAGAAGGATTTGGGGATGTTGGTAGAAGAAAAATGGGATGTGCGCCAGCGATGTGCACTTGCAGCCTATAAAGCCAGTCACATTCTGGGCTGCATAAAAAGGAGCGTGACCAGCAGGTCAGAGGGGTGATTCTGCCCCTCTGTTCCACTCCTGTGGATACGGCATCCCTTTCTGGGTTCTCCAGCAGAAGAAGGACTTGAACCTGTGGGAGCGAGTCCAGAGGAGAGCCCTGAAAATCAGAGGGCTGGAGTGTGTCTCCTGTGAAGAGTTATGGTTGTTCAGCCTGGAGAGGAGAAGGCTTCAGGGAGACCTTATAGCGACCTTCTGGACCTTAGAAGGGACTTGTAAGAGAGATGGAGTCTTTTTACCAGGGCCTCTGGTGGTAGGAAAAGAGTTTTAAACTAAAAGGGAGTAGGTTTTAATTAGGTAAAAGCAAGAAATTGTTTACTATGAGAATGGTGAGACACAAGTTGCCAGAGAAATACTGGATGCCCCATCCCTGGAAGTGTTCAAGGTGAGGTTGGATGGGGCTTTGAGCAACCTGATCTGGTGAAAAGATGTCCTTGCTTGTGGCAGGGGAGTTGGAGCTGGATGGTCTTTAAGGTCCCTTCTAACGCAAAACCTTCTATGATTCTAAGTGGAGAGGGATTTCTGGTTGACGCTTAACATGCGTGCTGTATGAATTGGCTGAAAATACTGTGCTGTCAGGAAGATGATTGTTCATTTTAGGATATTTGTATTCAGAAAAGTGAGGAGTTTTGGGACCCTCTTGCATTTGCATTAAACTGTGCTATGTTTTCTGTAATTATTCTGTTTAATACTTAAAGGTTGAGTTAAGAAATTGTAAGGAATGTCACATTTCTTAATTTTGGAAGCAAAATTTAATATTTTTTTTTTCAAAAGCAACAAGCAAGTGTTGGATTATGTGTTGCAAAATTGCAAGCAGATATTTCATTCTGGGCCCTCACTTTGTCTATAGTACAAATGCTGCTACTTTGGGCTTCCGGCATACACTGACAGACCTGAGTCGCCAGTTTCCCAAGTAAATGTAGTTTTCAAAACAAAAAAGTATTTGTAGGAGATTAAAAGCTTCTTTAAGTCAATTAAGGAAAAAGAATTTGGAAGAATGATGGGTCGTTTTTTTTCTTGGCTCCTTCCAGGTACTAAATTTGGGATTTGTGTTTTCCTTTAAATCACAGTATGTCAGAGGTTGGAAGGGACCTCGAAAGATCATCTAGTCCAACCCACCTGCCAGAGAAGGGTCACCTAGAGATGTTAAAACCTGAAACAAGCATTTCCATTGTCCAGAAAACCTATCTCTAATGTTACTGTTTCTTTTAGTTTGTTATTTCTCTTTCGGGCTTGAATTATCTCCTTAAACTTAGTGCTAGGTTTGGCTCTCTGCTGCCTGGAATAATGCAATGGGATGCTGGCAACAACACGTATTATCCTATTAAGTTTTTGACATATTCTGGATGTGTGGTACTAAGACACCTGACTGTGCACGGCTGCTGTGTCAGAGCCAGCTCTGTGCAACTCTTGTGTGTTTCCCAGCGCTGTGTTGTGGCTTTTTTGATGCTTTGAACTGCCCCGTCCCCTTTTTCTGATAATTTCAAAGTTGATGAACAGGTCAGTTGTGCTTCCAGCATTTCTGTGTGAGTCAGCAGTTCTGCCTCCTCATTGCTGTGCGTGTGATAAGCGAAGGAGCTACTGTTCTCTCTCTTCTTGGATTGTTTTTGGTTTGGCAAGGTGTCTTCTTGAATCTAGGCCGATTACACGTTTGCTCACATGTGTGCGAGTTGATTTTATTGGTATTTTGGGCTTTGAGAGTGCTGACCAGGCATACCCAAACTGTCTCTGCTAAGGCAGTGCCTGCGTGTAAGCAAAATGTTTCTGGCACTGCAGTGGCCCCAGAAGTGGTTTAGCTGTAGCTACATGTCATCCAGCCAAGCCAGTAGCCAGGGTGAGTGACCCACAGTCTGGTAAATCACCTGTGAGTAACTGGAAACTGGGCACTGAACTGTGAGTATAAAATGCAGAAGACACTAATTGGAGACTCTGGTTTTTCTGCCCCTTCTCTCCCTTTCCCCCATGGTGGTATAGAACATTTATGTATTTCAATTCTAGCAGTGTATTGCATTTTGTTGTATAAGCAGCATGTACGTGATTTAGAATATTTTGCAACAGCAATTAGCATTTAGCATTAGTGAGAAATAGTAACAGTTTTAAAAGTGGATGTCTAGCTGTGAACCGGTTATAATTTCACTGTTCTAATCCTTTCGAGTTGAGAAGACTGATACATATGCTTGGACAAACCAATTTTTTCAGTTTGTGTTTTGACAGCTATGCAGAGATTTAGTTAAAACTGATTTTGACAGAAAAGGATAGAAAAAAGCATCTCATGTTTGCAGGGAGAAGAAATCCCTGTGTCTTGGAAACTCAGATACCACATAGGAATATCTACATGTTAGCTTCAGAGCAATGAATTATAATAAGCAACTTGGGGAGCATGACCTATATTTAAGATTGTCTAATCCTTTCTACTGTATAATCCTGTTTACTCTTGCATTTTAGTTTGTTAAATGTAAACAATTTTGGATTATGCTTTCTGAGCTAGCAGTTTGCTGGAAGTTGAATGAATCTTAGGAAATTAAAGTTACTATTAATATCTTTATGGATATTAATCTAGTTCAGTATATTGTGTTGCTCAGAGTGTGTAATATAAGAGGAGAGGGATCTTGTGGCTGTTCTGTTTCGATGACCATTTTATGGAGAAGCTCTAATTCTTCTTGTCTTTAGGAAGAAAATAAAAAATTGTCCATAGATGGCCATTCCCATTATCCGGGCTTTGTTTTTCAGCTAATGTGCTTCTGAATGTGTGTGGTAAACAAAAATACAGCCTTAGTTAAGAACATCCTTAAACTGGTTTGGCATTTTTTATTGGGTTTTATGTATGAAAGCAGCAAATACTAGGTAGTCCCTTGTCTGCTGACAGCTAGGGTTGAAGGAGAAAAGAGCAGCATTTTGTTCAAAGGCATATATTGTGAAAAATCAGGTTTTCATAGCATTATATAGTCTTGGATGATGGAGTCCTGACTCAGTGTGAAGGAAGGAATTGTTTCCAATTAGCACTTATCAGTCACAGCTATGATGTTAGTTAATGTACAGTTCTCACTATGCAGCAAACTTCTGATGAGATTACTTCAGCCAGGAGATGTATGTACAAGTAAAAAGAGCAGAGTTATTGCTGCGTCCTCGGACAAAATTGTTGCAAAACTCTGCTACTTGTGTGCTGTGGCTGTTTTGGCAGTTCAATATTAATGAACTTACAAAGCTATATTAAAGTTGAGAAGCTAGCTAGGTTTTTGCTTAAGCATTTTGTAATGTTTTCAGTGCGTTATTTCTCTTAAGTGAAGACAGTGAAGTCTATACTTTTACCAAATCTACTGTTTTAAGTGACAAAATCGCTACATGCTCTTTATGACTGGATTTTTTTGTTTAATGGAAAATAAAAAGATTTGATTCAGCAGGCATATGATGATGAGTATACTAAGTATTTGGTTAAGCATCTGTTACGCTTCCATAAAGGTAGTATACTTTTTTCCCCCCGAGAAAGAAGAACTAGTGAGAGCTACAGTGTTTGCATATCATCTGTATTTCCTTTGTAGCTTCACTTGCAGGTTTCTGCTATGTTTAGTGAAAGTAAAACTAGGTATATAGTGAACGTTGAAAAGAAAAACCTGTTATCTTTTGTGCATTTTGGATCTTCTATTGTATTTTATTGAGCCTTTTTTTTTTTCTTTAATGGTGATAACTTTTCTGGTGTAATAGATACTTAAAAGCTGATGAAAATTGAAAGTTGCATCTTCTTGTGGAAAAATAATGTACTTTTATACTGCTTAAAACGGCAAAGTACATTTCTGATAACTTTTTTTTTTGCAGTTGTACTCGCTGAACGATTATAAGCCACCCATTTCTAAAGCTAAAATGACACAGATCACCAAGGCAGCAATCAAGGCTATAAAGGTAAAAAATTGCTTAACTTCTTTATACTTCCTTTCCATTTCTCTTCTGTGTCAAAAGTAGCTGAATAGCTTCACGAACTTGCTACAGAACTTTTCGTCTCCCTTGTTCTCTGTACAATTTTCAAGTTATGATCATATGTGATAGTGATGGGATTTTCAGGAGTGCGACAGAAGGCTTAATTTGTTATGTGACTTTCATTTGCTGGTTGTCATATGTGAGAAAGAATTATGTCAACTCTTAAGTCAGATCTGAAAGACATTTTTTTTCCCTACTCAGTTTAAATAGGAAACATTGACATTACCTCAGAACAAATATAAAACTACAGTCCTCCCCCACCCCCAAAAATAAAAGCTATGTGTGCCTTTGGATCAATGCAACTGTTTTAATTTTTATTTTGTTGTAATCTAGCACACCCTTTCACGTGTGTGGTTCATAGATTTTATTTTTGATGTTGCTTGGATACAAACTGTTCTTGAGTTTTAACATTGGCCCGCTAATTAAAGACTTCTCTTGCCACAGAGGAAAGCTAATTGTCAAACAGTGATGGAGCAGCAGAAAACAACACTGGAAAGTGATGAGGGAGGGAAGTATACCACATTGTTAGGCATTAAAGCAAATAGAAACTCAGTGGAAGCTAGAGAGGTGAAAAAGAGGACAGGATAAAAGATAAACAGCTATGAACTTAAGTGCTTCCTATCTACATTCCTCTGCTGAGAATGCAGATTTTGTGTAATTTGGAAAGAGAGCAATGTGATGACAGAAGAGTGAAATTCACTGGCTTTCTTAAATATGAGAAGTCTATGTAAATTAGAGTCTATATGTTGCAGTATAATGAAAACACTAAAAATTTGTATTGAGCATAAACAAGTAGTAAATGATAGTAGATGGTTCTATAAATTAAATTGCTTAAGGATACCAGAATGTTTTATCACATATTTAACTTGGGAATCCTGCTTCCACTTTTACCATTTCAAAAATGTTTAATTGTGTAGAGCAGTTAGATGATTAGAGCCATTGTGTTGATATGTAAGATTAAAAAAAAAACTACAAAAAACTTAACAGGCCAATTGTAAAGAAAAAGTATGCAATAGATGTTATGAGGTCTTCCTATACTTACACTTATAGGTGATTGACACTTGGAACATAAATGAAATAAAGAGAAATGCTATGCTTACTAACATTAGACTAACATCCTGAATCATGTACAAACAAATAACAGTATGTTTTTGAAGGAACAGTTATTCTCCTAGCTCTCTAAGAGGACATTATTTTATAAAATCCGGCATAAACACCAACATAAGGCAAGAAAAAGTGAGATTAGCTTTTTTTTTATATATAGTGTAATGTTCTAAGGAAGACAACAAACTCAGCTGTAGGTATTAGATTAGATTGCTGGTTCATCAAAGTTTCTCCTTCTGATTCTACTGTTGATATTGCATGATTTGAACAAGTATATGTGCATCTCCAGATTTTCCCCTCTTGAAGTATTCTTTTATTTTCCAGTTCTACAAGCACGTTGTACAGAGTGTTGAGAAATTCATTCAAAAGGTAAGTCAGTCATGAGTATTTTGTATTAGCACTCAGAAAAATTTCCTTATTTTGGTTTACAGAGTATTGAAAAACATCAAATTTTAGGTACACACATGGATAAATGTTTTTATCTCACATTTGTTTATTTCAGTTTTTAGTCACAGTCAATTTCTGCTAGTAATCAGTAGCTGATCATAACCCATGATGCAGAAAAATACCTTGTCCTGGTTTTGCAGTAAGGATAAACTTTGATATGAGCGACTGTGGATTCTGTCTTAGGACTGCTTCCCTGTATGGATTCATTTAATGTTCAAAAAGGCTCTCAATGTAGCCTGTGTGAACAGCTAGCAGCGAAAGAATTGACAGCGGTTTGGCAAGTGACAGTTGCTTTTTTGCTTTTCTGCCAGGTTTCCCCATAGATTTTAAGGCTGAAGGGGAGATGATTCACCCTCCTTTTTTGTGTAGCATGAGAGCATTTCAGTCAGTGGCTCCTGCTAGTAATCTAAACCAAGAAATATTTATGTGACTAGACTGGAATTACTTTCTGAGAAGATGCAGTATTCATTTACAGATTGTGAAAACCAGATAGTTTTATTGCATTTTGTTTTCTTGGAACAGTTGGTTGTTCTTGGGTAAAACTGCATTTTAACTTCACTAGAGTTGCACAGATTGCAATCTGTGAGTCTTTCCTCGTTGTCTCCATTGTACCGGGTTGTGGATTGATCGTTTTGGTACCGAGTTTCTTCTCCTTTTGCAAATAGTAAATTGTGATCAAATTGTCCTTTTATCTTGACAAACAAGCTAGAGAAGTTAGTCTGATAATATTGCAGTATCGGGTGCAATTTTTTTGCTGCTGTCCCTTTTAGAAGCAGTGTAGCTTGCTGTGGGTCAGAACCCTAGTCTTACTCAAGACGTTTTATTCCTTGGTGCCCAGTGTGTGCTGCAGTGCCTTTTCACAGTCGTTGGACAGTGAAACGGGGTTCAGCTTCAGCCTGGTGGTTTTTTACTGCCTCAGAACAGTTCATGAATTAATTATTTTGGTGCTAGAACCTTGTTCTGACGTGGAAGAGGTGGCATATGTGTGTTTCATGGCACTGCTAAAGGCTAAGGGTATATTTTACTGTCGCTGCTCGTATTTTGTCTGGTGTTCTTTTGAGACATTGCCTCTGACTTCTTTCCATCTCTGAGAAGATATCCTGTGATCCCTGGTTAATACTACAAGTGGACATAGGAGGATGAGAGCAGACGCACATCTTATCCGTGCCCACTCAGTAGTGCTTTGCAGTTCCATGTCCCCAGATTAATCCTGGATTCTCCAGGTTCCAAAATACTTCTTTTTATTTGCAGTGGCTGTGATTGACAATTCTGTATTCAGAGGCATGAGAGAATATTTGTCTTCTGAATGAGTGGGAGCTGGTCAGGAATTGGGCTGGTTATTCGTGACCCTTCCACAAGCTCCTCAGAGAGTAGGGCTTGTCTTTGCCCATTTATTTTCAGTGTCCGCTAGTACTTGATGAGGGAGTTCCACTCTGTTCGCTGCTGGTTAGAGAAGGCAGATTTATTACTGATAACCTTTTTAATGATTGCTCTGGATTAGATGTTTCCTTTTGCTGGACTTGATGTGGGTTTTTTTGCTTGGTGTTTCACAAAGGATTTAGTGAAACACACAAATTATTAATAGCATCCAATAGTAAGTTCTTATTTTAGTAGAATTAGTGATAAGCAGATGAAAGCTCCTTTCTGGCCATTGGATATTTATGGACTTGAAATGTATGTTTGGAAGATAATTGGATTATTTTTCTGGAAGCAAACACTTCCAAGTTAAAGCTCAAAATTACTCAGTCTGCCATTAAAATCTGCGATAAACTTGTCCAGAGTCATGTTAGTGCCATTTCAATTAGTTTACTGTTGATTCTTTTCTACCCCTAATATTTCCTTTCTTCAAAATTAATCTCATGAGGTTAGTCAAACTTAGGTGCAGTGATCGTCCATGACATTCTTTGTTTTGTGACACTGAACTCACTGGTCTGTTGTCATTTTGGTTGACTGTAAAATTCTCTGGCGAAACATCACTCTAGGGGTCAAACGACCACATGCCATATGTGTAGGGATATTCCATTGTGAGAGCAAGACTTGAATAATTTCTTTGAGTTATCAGATTTTTTTATTGCTGAGACTCACTAGGAAAATACGTGAACATCTGTTGTGTAAAAACTTCTCTCATCTCAGATTGGGGATATGCAGGCTCACTGCCCCAGCTGCATTTTGTCTTTTATTGTCTTTTCCTGTTTTATCATCTGTATCACTATATTAATTATATAATTCTACTTTCTGTATGTGCTGAATTTTTAAATATTCCATTTAGCGTATTTGCTGAGATCTCTTATTAAATATCTGTGTGGTTTTTTAATTTCAGTGTTATGAAAGTCACATACCTGTTTGTATGCAGAGTACTCTTTTCTGGTAATAATTGAGCTAGAATTTGCATAGCTACAATACACTGAAGAGATTTTCTGAAGAAAGTGCATTATATGCAGTTAGATTTTAATTTTATAATTTTAATAATGGGCATTTATTCTTAAAAGGATGCCACACACATTCTAAAAAATAAAGAGTGGCATACTTAAAAACCCTGGGCTGTATGTTTAGAACCTAAACGAAAGCTTTATCGAGCTTGCAAATGTTAGCAAAAATCAGCATTTTTCAAAACAGGAAGTTTGCTTCTAGACAGTGGTAAACTTAGTGGTCTGAGGATTTTGTCTGGCACCTTAGTATAGATGATGAGTTTAGTGTCTACTACATAGTACATTTATAGGCTTTCTGGACAGGAGAGGGAATAGTTGCACTTTCCCATGTTTTCCGTAGTACCTCGTGTCGTAAGCATCTGCAACCAATATTCATGAAGCGCATTCCCGTCACAGTAGTTCTGGTGATGGCCTCATGATCTTTTTGTACCGCTTTTCACTCTGTCTTAAAACTGGTTGCACTGGGCTTGTGCAGTTCCTTTGCAATTAAAAGGCAACAAATGTAGCTTTAATTGTTAGTAAAGAAAATTACCTAAGTAATTAGTATTGTAGTTATCAGCTTTATAAATACAATGCTGTTTGTAAATTTTCCACGGTTTTAAAACAGCACTGGTGTATTTGCAACCAAACAGATGTCCACATAAATACGTTCTTGTTCTGGTAGGAGCAAGGTATACCACACGCTACTTATGACAAAGTAAAATAAATGTTAACTTTAATGTTGACTTCTGTCATAAAGAAGGACAAAATTATTTTTGATTATATTTACAGCTAATCCCAATGTACTATTAAGGATTTGGTCATGCTTTATGCTGTTGTTTTAGAATAAAAGTGTATGTTTAAAGGGGATGTGTGGTTGATGTGCTAATTTTTAATAGCTATATTCTAAAAAGTTATTTTAGTCATAGTAAATTGATTTTAAAGCATTTACCTATTTGCAGAATACATATGAATGTGATAATTCAAACACTAGAGGCTAGCTATTTTTGAGAGAATTTTATTTTTCAAGACAATTTGTTAAATATTTGGTAATACTTCAACCCATTTAAAAATTAGAGACACCTGTTCAGTGTACTCTGCCGTTAATGAATTTTTGGTATTTTCCACATATGCATATTTTAAATTATTATTCTTTGCAGTGCAAGCCAGAATACAAGGTACCTGGTCTGTATGTCATTGACTCCATTGTAAGACAGTCCCGGCATCAGTTTGGGCAGGAAAAGGATGTATTTGCTCCAAGATTCAGCAATAACATCATCAGCACTTTCCAGAACTTGTACCGTTGTCCAGGGGATGACAAGGTAAACCACTTACTGTATTTTATTTTCTAAGTAAAACAATAGTATGTTATCTATAAAGAATAAAGATTTTGATGTCACTTTTTGCTTGCTAGAATGGATCTAGTTATAGACTTACATATTTATGTGTATTTTTTTTTTCTTTTGTTTGTCTGAGTGTAAGAATAAGGGAAGACAGATTCAATTAGATTAATTAGGATTTGAAAAAGATTTTCAGGAAAAATGGATGGAATTAATTAATTAACGTATTACGATGGGAGAAAAAGTGAGTGGGCATTTTAGGACCAAGAGTTGTCAGTCTTTTACTACTATCTTCCACTCTTCAGTGAGAAAAGAAATGAACAGGTTCTGCATAGTGTCAAGGAATGAGTTATCTTTCTTGGTAACAGTAACTTCAGTGTAAACTAGTGTGTTTTGGGCTGAAGAAGCAATAGAAAACCATCAGAGCGTCTTAAAAGTTAACTTTCCCCTTTGATACTGAATCAACCAGCAGCTGAGTAAAGTCTAACTGGAACAGTTTGATCCAGTAGTTCAGCAGTTCCTTTGGACTGTAGTAGAAGCTCAGTACCAAATCATCTTTATACTAAGTTGTCTGGAAATAGCAGAGGGTGGAGGCAGCTTAATTTCCTTTGTATTTACCGCTGATCTTACACTTGCTAGAGTTTGTTACTGTTGAGCTGAAAACTTTACTGTAGAGATGTGAAGTGCTAAGGGCTTTATCTCCGTGTAAATTTGTGTAATAGGGTCATTAAGTCAGGCAGTGAGCGAGGCAGGACACTGCAGGAGGAGAAAGGTTATTCTCTGAATACTTGCATGCTGTCCTACAGCCAAAGGTCTGAAAACCCAGGGCATCCATGGAGGGTGATTAAGGCAAATTCAGCCATCATGTGTCTCCTGTAGTTGCCCCAGGATTCCTGCCTCTTTAGAGGGGTTAGGACTCCTGCAGGAAAATAAGTTGGGATCTGCAAATTTTAAGCAGTTGGAAAACTCTGCTGTGGACGTCTGTCTTCTCTTTTGCAGCTGAGTTCTGGGGTGCTGCTGAACTGTTTATTTAAGTTAAATGACGTTTTTACAGTCTAGTTTTAGATTGTCCGCGTAATCAACTGGTGCTGCTTGACAGTATTTTATATATATATATATATATCTATTACATGTAATGGTTAACTTAAATTTTTCTTCATTTAGCTGTATTCCTTCAGCAATGTTAGTTTGTTTCCTGTAACCATTTAGCTTACTATTCTGGGAAGTACATCAGCACAGAAATAATCAGAGTTGTTGAAGGAGGAGAGCTGGGACAAGGATGGGCACAAGTACTCAGTTGGTGTCTGGCTTTAAGGAAACAGTAAATTTATTGCAGGATAAGAAATAGTGACACTTGTTCTGTGGTATTTCAATGCATGGCAACTAATGTATCTCATTAGAGGTGTTTGATGTGAAGAGAGATGGTAAAATATAGTTTATTTACGGTCTGTAAAACTCCTCTCAGGTTCATTTCTAGGATATTTTTCACCTCAGGGAAAATGTATTTTGTAGTCTGAAGTCTTGGTGCTATGTTGCGTATGGATTCAGTATTACGGGAAAATCTTTGTGCTGTGAAAGTAGTTACCATCTGTCTGATCCAGCAAAAAATTACGCTGTCAACGATACCAAGGTTCTGTACCTGTTTTCTAGCATTTTGGTGTTTAATCTGATTAAAAGGCGTAACAGAGAAACACAAGTCTTTTGTTTGTTTGTTTGTATTCTGAAAAATCAAACAGAAATGTAGTAGCATTTTATTTAAAATAGCAAAAAACCCAAACCTGCCAATTCCTTCACCTGGCTCAACTGTGGAAAACAGAAGGAGGAGATAGATACTGAGGCACAAAAATAGTTTTATATTCCTGTTCTGGATAGAAGAGGGAAGTTAGAGCTGTTGATGGCGTTGTTGGGGGCTTTCCAGTTTGAAAGGTTGTTTTGTACGGCTCACATACAGTAATGCTGAATGGAAGCTTTCAGAGGTTTCTTTAAAGGAACGCTAAATTTCATTTTCCATGCAGTAGAAATTCAGCACTAATGTTAAATTTAAGTATCATCCTGAAATTCTGGGTAAACAGATACTTTTTATCTTTTGTTTAAACACTGTGTGTGGTTAAGTACCCTTATGTTCATGTTTTATAGAATTTAAATAACTAAACCATCTTTGTGACAGCAAACACAAGATCTAATTAAGAACTTTCTGTTCTGTGTGATACAAGTAATATTTTTTTTGTCTAAGAAGGTGTTTTTATCTATCACGTACATTACTATCTAACTTCTCAAGATCAAAATCTTGCCTCTGGGTAGAAGCAAATCTTAGAAAAAAAAAGATTTGAGAGCAGATTAAAACAATGGAATAGAAATGTGTTTGCAGGCTGAACGATGAGTTACTTCTGTTGTAACTGGATGAAGTTTGTATTTTGCTTCCCTGTGATCCCCATTTTTAATATTAATATGTCATTGCAGTAGGCAGGGGATTGTGTTCCAGTTTAAATTCCTTACTTTTCTAGTAGAGGTATTTATCAGGCTTATTAGTGTATGCCAGCTTCTCAGGGGACTTAAGTAATTTTGCTTCATAGGTAGATCAGAATCATATTCATATATGTTGACTATAAAAGTTTAGGAGATGAGTAATTGCTTGCTTTAATTATTAGTAATGCTTTAAAATGTTTGCTGAAAATAAATATACTTCCCTACTGTTTTCCAAGAGTAAAGGTATGGAAGTGTCAAGTACACTTGTTTAGTTTTGTTTTGGTTTTCTGTATTTCATTTTCTGTTGAGAGAAGAGTGTCATTACATGCACAGCGAGTCTTTGCTGTTGCTGAGGCATCTTGTGTGGGTCAGCCTCAGGTTTGTAGGTTGGACATCCTCAGTGTGACCCTGTATAACTGTTCTCATGTTCCTTACTCTTTGTAAACCTAAAGGTGCCTCAGTTATATAGATGGATTGACATTGCTTGCTAAGAAATCTGTACTTGAAAATAACAAGAAAGATAAACCTAACTCAGGTCTTTCGCTGTCCTTTCTTCATTTTAGAGTAAAATTGTTAGAGTGCTGAATTTATGGCAGAAGAATAATGTGTTCAAGAGTGAAATCATTCAGCCTCTCTTGGATTAATTCCTCCTCCAGTTGTGACTCCTGTCTTGCCCAGCACTACAGCTGCTATGAGCAACAATACACCAGGTAAACAAATACAGGTTAAAATCATACTTTGAATGAAAACACTTCTGTCAGCTTTGGTCTGTTGGCTGTTAATGTGCTGAAAAATCTCGCTGGTTTCATTCAGACAAATCAAATTGAATGCTTGAAAGAAATAAGTTTAGCCAGCATCCAGATCAAGGAAGTAGTAAAGCTGTGAGGTAGCCTATTACGTTTATATTTGAACTGTATATTGCAAATAGATTTAGTAACAGTGCATTAAGACCCAGTTTTGTCCTCAAAAGTCAAAATAGTAGATCACTGACGGAGCTGAGAACTGAACAAAGTGCTTAATGCAGTCTGTGTTAGTGGTGCCACCACTGAGAGAAGTGGTACAGCAGGATCTTTTTGCTCTCCCTAAGACTGAGCGTGCTGGATCATGTCAGACAATGGTCATTTAGGGCTGCTGGCTGACTGGCAATGATTTTGAGGGGAAAAAACCCCCCATATTGGCAAAAGAAGCTGCAGCCAGTGGAATACTCTGTCCCTTAATTCTAAAGTAGGTGGGCTAGAAATCGTGCTGGAGAATCATAGGCCAAAAACTCCTCATGGAGTATGTCCGAAGTTAAGAAACATAAAGTTATGTGTGCAAACTTTGACGTTTTGTGCTCTAGGGCATCTTCCTTCCTTATGTAGGTAGATAGTGAGAAACTGGCTTTTCAGCTTTTTTTTTGTTTTTTCATTCAAGATTGGGATGTGTAGGAAATTTTACATGTAGAATTATTTTTTTTGCGCATACAGATCTGCTTTTGTTACCCACCTTTTGCAGATTCCATGCTGAAAAGCAACAGGGTGGATAAATCCACCTTATTTTTCATTGCTATCTGTAAACATGTAAAAAATGTAGCTCTTAGACTGGACTTACTGCATCTTCAGTATTTTTTATTTTCTTTAGTTTGATTACTTTAAATTGTGAAGTCATATCTTCGCTGTAGTGTCTTTTTTGAATTCTAATGCAAATTGTCTTTTGAAACAGTAATATAATTGTTTACTAAATACGTGTTTATCAGCATATCTCTACTTACAGCTAAAAGTAGGTGTATGTCATGATTATTGCATGAAACTATCAGACTTTTTTTTCTTCACTGACACTATTTATTTATAAGTTTCTATGTTAAAATATTTTGGCATATTGGATTTTCTCTTCTTTTAGGAACACCTGTGACTCCAGTTACTCCAGCCAATGTGGTACAGAGTTTACCTGATCCTTGGGTATCTCAGATTGCTAATACAGATACCCTGGCTGCTGTGGCACAGATTTTACAGAGTCCTCAAGGCCAACAGGTAAATATTTTTGTAAACAATTACACAGTACACTGTTTGATACTCTTGTGTCTTCAAGATACACTTAAGGAATACTGCTTTCATGAGTATCTCTTAGTTTTGTGTCCATGTCCAGTTTAGTTATTCCATGAGGTTGTTCATCACAAGTAAGTTCCAGGTGAAAGAAAGCTTCCCTGTTACCTTTTGTAACCAACTGTGTTTGTTTCTTGAAAGTATGATGGCATGTGACTTCAGATAAGATGGTCTGTAATATGTACTTTTCTGTACAGTATTGCAGATGACTAAATCAAGAGCAGTATTAAGAGTTTGTGGATGCAGGTATAAAATAGAATGCCAGCCTAAGCATATTTCTCTGCTGGATTTCCCAAGAAGCTAAACATTGTATAGAATCATATAATGGCAGTGTACTCATTCTGAAAGTGTTCGGTGTGTCGATTCTTTTCTCTATCTTTCTATCAGCCAAATACAGTTTTTATATTGCAGCATTCAAAAAAATTAGCATCTTAGAAGGGACTGTATTCCTCAATTTCTAAATGCTCAACTCAAAAAAAGTGACGTAATATGTGGCATGCATTGAGCTGCTTGCTCTTAAGCCCTAGCCACATAAGTTGTGTGCACACAGTCAGCTTTCTGTAAAAATGTAGATCATTGTTCTTTTGGTTTGTGCTAGAACTCTGGCATGATTTTGACATTACGATTTTTCCTTGGACTGAGAAATAGGGATACTTTACCTGCTGGGATGCTAAACAAAAATCCCATGCATATGAATGAGAAGCAGTCACGAGTGAGCTGTTATGAGGCGCTGTTGCTCACGGTAACAACAGCTTTACTTAGCGAGATTGTTTTACAGTGTTTATTTAAGCAGAATTGTCTGTAATTGTTCATAAGGCAAGTGAAGTGGTTATTTTAATCTGATTACGCTGAACGAAATTGATGAGTCAATGAAAAGCAGAGCAAAGTGAGTTTGTTGGGATACTTTGTGAAATGTAGAGGAATGATAGTGTAATAGCTGTTAAACAAAGAAGGGATGTGAAGTGGGAATGGGAAATATTTGGAAAGTCAGTACGTTAATAGTATTCTAAAAAAAGAAAAAAGACTATGAAAAAGAAAAAGATAGTGAAGATGAGAAGAGAAATTAGAGTTTTAAAGACAGCATGTCACAAAGAAACTACATTTGGATATTAAGCTCAAAATGGTAAAATGAAGAGGAGAAGGAATTTGGGAGAGGTAGAAGATGGTCTTAAGCAGAAGTGTGGAGACGGACTGGGTACACAATGAGTATTTGCATCCATATCTCTAGGATTGTTAGATGAGCTGTAACATTTGTTTCCATCCTGTCTGTCTCTTTTCTTCCTTTTCTTCAAGCCACTCCCCCCACACACCCTCCAAGTTCCAAAATCCTTAATTTCATTTTAAAATTGTATTCTATGGATGACAATTCATGCAGGTAAACTGAGAGTCTAGGCGTGGAAGAGCACGGAGTAAGAAAGATGTGACCAAAAGGAATGTGAAAACAGCTAGAAAGGTGACCACACAGGATTTTCCCACTCTAGGGCTTCCAGCTCTGCTTTTTCAATTTGATTCCTTCCTACTCAGAGCAACACACAAGGTGGACCAGCTGTATTTGCTCATCTTTAGTGGATCAGCCAAGAAAGAGAGGAGGAAGCTCTTCCGCTTTGCCTCTTGCAGTAATCAGTGAAAGCTCTTGGTGAGGTAGAGCAATAATTGAAGTGTTTTCAGAAGCTCTGGTGTATGAGGAATCTGTATAGCTGTTTTTAAGAGTAGGAAGAGGTGACTTACATTGTCGGAATATAATTAAAACAGTCTGGAAGAAGTATCACACATTTTTTGATGCATTGAGGAAAAGAAGATCAACCTAATCAGCTTACGCAGAGTTTCTAATGAGCCCTAATAAGGAGTGAGGGATTCAACCCTCTAAGTGTTCAGTGGTGAACCCTATGAGTAAGTGAATATGAACATAATGAGGGACTTAGATCAGGATAGTTTGAAGTACCTGGATTTGCTCAGCTTTTTTTTTTTTTCCAGAAACACCCAAAGGTAGCGCTTCAGGGGTTTACCTGCTTCCTCTAATTCCATGAAACCTCAGGAGGGCTTCTTTGCATAGGGATAGTACTTTTTTCCTTCTGTGTTAAGGTAAATCGGTACAGTTTTGTGGGACCATCTCTTTTTGACAGATGAATGGATCTGGATGTGGAAAAGCCTTTACTTTTCTTCACTTGGATGGCTCCTTAACAAAAATAATACAAATAGCAAGTAGAAGTAAGGAAAACAAGATATACCAAGCAACTGGATTGTGCGTTTCTTGTATAAAAAGTGTGAAAGATACTCTTATTTTTCTTTATTTTCTTCCTCTAGATTTCAAGGAAAGAGACTTTTAGGGTATCCTGGTATCCTCTGCTGAAATATCTTAAGCCCATTCACTACACTTTGAAAGTTCCTTCTCTGATGATACTTAGTGCTCTATTCACTATGTAATCCCAGACCTTTCCTGGGTTTAAGCAAACCAACCACCACCCAAATATTTTTAAATAATACTTGAAGCACTTGGTGCTATTTTCAAATAATATTCTTTAACATCTGTCTTTTGGCATTGCCCATATTTTGTTTTTACTTTAACATAATTTGTTATTACTGTACGTCTGTTGGCCCAGAGCTTTTGGTTTCAACATTGCATCTACACAGATTTTATCCTGAAACTGCTATGCAGAGCCCAGAGCCTGTACCATTGGAGGAAGTCAAATTATATTCCCAGTTACTGGTTAATTTGCTTTTTATGTTTTGCTAACGTAGCAAGGGAATTTACATTCTGCCAGTGCAAACCTGAGTTTCAGCATGAGACCTTCCTTGTGACTAATGCAGAGACGCTAGTGCGAACTCTTCCTATAGGGAGGTTGCATCAGCTTCAGCTGCTTTTCTTTACGCAAATACTGTGACAGTGTATGGATCTTCCTAATATAGGTGGGCCCTTAGGAAGCTGGAATAGGCTAACAGATTTTTTTCAGGTCAGAAGGAATCAAACTGGATAAAGAGAAGAGGGGGAACCCTAGAAAGCAGGAAATCCTGAGTGGTGACTGGTCATCATACACCCTGTCAGAGCAAGTTAGGAGGAAGAAGCATCTGCATGACTTATGAGCCACAGAAAGCAAATTAGCCAGTAAGTGGGAACAAAATTTGCCATAAATAAAAACAAAATAAGATGAGATAGTAACCATAGGTTAGATGATACTGCATTCCTGAGTTGGGTTTTTTTTTCTGAATTGGAAAGGGAAGAGACTAGTTTGGTTTTTGTTGTTTGCTTGGATTTTTTTTTTCTTGTTTAATGCATTTGTTGTCTTTTCTCTTTTAGCTTCAGCAGTTGATACAGACATTGCAGATACAGCAGCAGAAACCTCAGCCTTCGCTACTTCAAGCCCTGGATGCTGGTCTTGTCGTTCAGTTACAGGCCCTCACAGCGCAACTTACAGCTGCAGCTGCTGCTGCTAACACGCTTAATCCGTTGGAACAGAGTGTCTCTTTTAATAAGGTAGAAGTAGAATAATAGAAGTTTGAGAAAATATTTATTGTTAAAATATATGTAAGTGAAAGAGGCTTCTTTTGGATGTTACAATGTGACTTTAAAGATTTTAAAATTCCATGAATATACTGTAAAATGTCTATCTTGAAAATTTAAAAAAATATCAAAAGACAGTAGTTTAAATGAAAATACTAGTTTTATGTGAGTTTAGGGCTAGTATTTCATAGAGTATCTCATATTGGAAGGGACCCACAAAGGTCATCTAGTATGAAGATGGATTCAGTTTAACGAAGTTAAGCCACTGTTTTTCTCCACCCTTCATAACACAGGGTGAGAATTGAGCATGTCTTGTTTCCCCTTCCTGTGTTTTTTTGTGATCTGAGGTAGGCATTGATTTCGTACAAGCTAATGAAAGAGAAACATGCAGGAATTTATATATGCTGTTTTTCCAGAAGAGTAAAGCGTGATTAAACTTGTAATTTTCCTACACTATAAATGACAAGAAAGGTTCTGATCACAAAGTGGTAGTAAGTGAAGAAACAAATTTAGGACTGTAGTTAAAACAAGTCATGTGACACTTACTTAAAGGGTATCAGCAGGGTGGAACAGGCTGCCCAGGGAAACGGTGGCATCACTACCCCTGGAGGTGTTCAAAAAACGTGTAGATCTGGCACTTCAGCACATGGTTTAGTGTTCATGGTAGTGCTGGGTTGCCAGTTGGACTTGATGATTTTAGAGGTCTTTTCCAACCGTAATGATTCTAAAATGTAAAAAACCAAAAAATCCCAGTAAGGTAAAGAGACTTAGTGTCTATTGGAACGTAAATAAATAAATACAGAATGCAAGAATTTAAGAAGACTAATGCAGTTGAATGCCAGGTAGCAATAGCAATGCTAGCAATTACAGTAGTGTAATACCAGTAGAATGAAAAAGGAAGGACGTCTACTCAGAGATTAAAAAATAAATAAATAAATCTTGTTCCATTATCTTCAGAAGAAATGGGTTGTGAGTAGATAATCTCTGTAGGATTGTCCTTGATGAATAAGTAATGAGAATAAGGAAGTCAGAGAAGAAAAAGCCCTTTTTTTGTTTTTTTCCATAACACAGATAGTGTCTTTTTCAGACAGTTAGCTGCTCAGAACTTGACAAGTGCTGAGTTTAAAGTTTTAGGAAAATTTATATTTCTGGAATTTGTTCCCAAAATCAAATCTCTGAAATAATAAGAGTGTTATCATTACTAATAAAGTAATGCAGCTGTAAAAGTAAGTGAGGAAAGAACCGACCTGTACTAGTGCTGTGTCACAGGTGTAACCACCAACTCAGATAAGGTGTAGTCATGGGGAATGAATGTGTCAGTTAATAGGGACTGCCTCAGTATTTAGATAGAAAAAGTAATTAAGAGTACAATGTCGTATTGTGGTTCTATTCTGCATATTTGGATAAGGCTGGGACAAAGGCTAGACTTGGTGATCTTCTAGATCTCTTCCAGCTGATACAATTCTGTGATTCTATGATTTAAATCCCAGCATTTACATGGATAGGTGTAACCATAGGTGTGTCTGTCTTGAATGCTCGACAACTTACCTGGAACAAATTGAAGCAACTGGCATTGTGGTGAGATATTTATACACCTTGAGTGAGTTCAGCCTGGTGCTCTTGAGTTAGTTTATGCCGATAATGGTATGCGGGGGTCTTGATATCGCGGAAGTTGTAAGCAGAATGAATGTACTTGGTTGTGATTTCTCGGACTTTACTCGAAGGCTATTTAGGCTACTTTGCAGAAATAGTTGTGTCAGTTTTAGAATGTCCTCTTCTTTTTTTTCTGATTTTTAATATGACATTGGCCCGGAAGTTGTAAGCAGAATGAATGTACTTGGTTGTGATTTCTCGGACTTTACTCGAAGGCTATTTAGGCTGCTTTGCAGAAATAGTGTGTCAGTTTTAGAATGTCCTTTTCTTTTTTTTCTGATTTTTAATATAACATTGGCCCTACCATACCTATTTTCTCCTTTTTCTGAAGTTTGAGGGTTTCTAAATCCTAGAATTTACAGAAGAGTGTATATTTATATATATGAATTAATGAGGAATCTTTATTTTTGCAATGATGTTTTGGGAGTAATAATTTTCCTTGATTTTTTCAATGGTTTCTCAGCACCAATAACACCTGCAACTCACATCCCACATCTCAATAGCTGAAAACAATGAGTCATAATGTTACAGTTCTGTTTATTAGATGTACTTCTATTTTATTTTATAATTATTTTGCTAGAGATGGCAGCCTTAATAAGCAAAGTGTTGAAAGGCAGTATTTACTTTTATAGGAAGTATCTGCATTAATGTTTTAGTATGTATCAGGAGCGTGCTTTTGAGGTGAAACATTTCATTTTTTGTATGTACCACCCATCATTTCACATTGCAGAGCAATCTTGAGTGCGTTAAGTAGATTCATTTGGATTAAGCTAAAGCAAGAGATACACTATGACTGCTAATGAGCACCCAGTTGACTGGAACAGACTGGAAAGGCTTCAGAGTAACTAGTGAAGTCTGAATAGCGTGCCCAAATAAAATAGAATAAACACTATAAGGCAGATTTTTTTAAAGAGGAAAATTTTTGCATATGCTTTGCTTCCTGACACCAAATCTATATCCTTGTGAGTGGTATTCCAGGGTGCTCTGAAGTGCTAGAGCTTTTGTATGTGCTTGCAGTAGTTTTATATTTTGACGCAAAAGACCTCAGTCTCACCTGACGATACCGTTAGAGGAAGAAGTGTCAAAACCCAAGGTGTCAGAACACCACAGTGAACAGCAACACTGGATTAACAGCCTTCTTTTGAGTACCGCGTTTACAGGGGCTTAATCTCTGGTATTCTAATCTTTATAAGAAATTAAATTGTTAACAAGTATCACAACAGACCATGAGCCAGCGAAGTGCCCCGGCAGCATAGAGGGCCAACAGGATCCTGAGTTGTGTGAACAGGAGTATCACCGGGGATCGGTGGAAATCTTCCCGTCTAGACATTCCATCTCTGCTAGACTGCATCTAGAGTGTCCCATCCCATTTTGCCACCCCTGTCCCCCTGAAAGACTTTGACAAACTGAAGTGAATTTAGTGGAGGATCACCAAAACGACCAGGACTGGAGCTGGTTGAGCCTGGGACAGAGGCAGCTTTGGGGGAGACCTGGCAGTCCCTGGCACCTGCAGGAAGGTCCACGAGAAGCTGAGACCTGACTCTTCACAGCATGGCGTAGCGGCAGGATTATAGATGACAGAAATTGAAATGAGAGGATTCAGAGTGGGTATAAGGAACACTTTTTTTTCATGAGCACAGTCAAGCACTAGAATAGCTCGCTTGAAATATTGGGCGGTATCGGTCACTGGAAGCGAAGACATTTCCAAGACTCAGCTGGGTAAAGGCCGGAGTAACCTGATCTGAGCTCACAGCTCAGCTTTCTGTGAGCAGAAAGTTGGACTGAGACCTACTGAGGAGGTCCCTTTCAACCTGAACTGTCCTGCAACCCTAAGATTTATGAAGACGGAAGCAGAAAAAATACTGTCACGTAGCAGAAATGGATGAAGTATTCTTACCTGAGATACAGTGACCAGCCACGAACATCTTAAAGAAGCTGAGCAGCAAGATTAGAGATCTAGCAGTTCCTGAAAGCAATAATTAGAAATATTGTCTAGTTTCTTTAAAAAGTACTCAACAGACTTGTGATGGAGTGTAGAGAATGGAGCGTGGGGCTGTGATGTGGATATAAAAATATATGGTTGAAGGCAGCGTCCAAAAGGCAAATGTTCTGAGTTGGCAGACACAACAACAACAACAAAAGACAGCTTTTATCATAAATAAACAATAAGCATTATGATCCAAAGAAAACTGTGCAGCCCAGTTCTTCTTCTGGGATATAATGATTGTTAATTGGATAAAAATATAAATAGTGCAGGAAATTTTTTCTGATGGATATGTAAGTATCCATGTTTTTAAAAAAAAATCCCTGTTTTTAATAAATTTGACAGTTCTGTCAATCCATTGTTTTCAAGCTCTTCAGTCTCCACAGTATCTGGCAGCAATAAGTTGCACTAATTAATATGCATTACGTGAAAAATGCCATCTTTTGTCAACATAAAATGTGTATGTTTTGTAATCTTGCTATATGACCTTCCGTTTTGGTAAAGAAAGACTTTTGATCAATGTTTCCAATGCATTTGTGTTCTGTTATTTTAATTTCAAAAGAGGAAATCCAGATCTGTAAGAATAATTGTTTCAGGAAAAAAAGGTTTTTTTCATGTATTTAATCGTTCCCTAGTGCTTTTTCCCAAGATACTTTCTTCTTAAGTAATTAAAATAACAGGTGTAGTTATTGTAGGCATGGAAGGTTCTGAACTTCTATATGCAGATCTGTGGTAGGCTAGCATAGGTATCCCAATATTTAATTTGTTTTAATTTCTGTTGTTTTAGTGCAGAGAATATTATCTTTACAATTTATTTAAAAATCAAGATATTTAAGTCCAGATTTTCCTCTTTAGTATCTACTGCATTATTTAAAACAAATTTAAACAAAAATCATGCTGCCCATGTGCATATCTTGGCTTGAAGTTCTTGGATTTTCTCTTCCAGATGAGACTAGATGTTTTCCTAAAATACATGTATTTCTCAGAGCAGCAGGATTTTACCAATGCTTTGTTTGAAAATACTCTTAACAATATGTATTTTTAAAAAAAGCAGCTACCTTGTTTTAAATGGATTATATCTATATAGATGGTGAAATACTGGATTTTAGCATTGCACATAAGCTCGGTAATCTGTTTCTGCTGTGTTTTCTCAGGGATATATTCATTCAGTGCTGCTTTCACATCCAGTTGCAAGAAAAGGTATGTGAACCTTTTG